AATGGTTTGCATGGCCTATCAGGTATTCTAGTTGCACATCACAAACAAAAATATGCTAGTGCTCATGGACAATACAGGAGCTATGATTTGCCCTCACAGCAGAGAGGAGCTCGCTCTTTCCCCCCATGTCAGGAAGCTGTTCGCACATGGGAGTTGTGCATAAAGCACTTGATCTACTTCAAATCTTTTCACCTTATGGGAGCTCAGAACAAGCTAGCAGATCACCTCAGAAGATTTTCTCTAGTCACCACACATAGTGGCAGCGCTAGGGGACCAACTTGGCAGCACCCCAGCTGTTCTGCCCAGGCGTCCCCAAGTCAGCTGATGCTGAAACTGACCAGCAGCTGACTCCGGGAAGCCCGGGGCAGAGCAGCTGGGGTGCTGCCGAGTTGGTCCCACAGTGCTGAGGGGCGACGCTACGGGACCGACCCAGCAGCACCCCAGCTACTCTGCCCCCGGCTTCCCTGAGTCAGCTGCTGGTCAGTTTCCGCAGCAGTTGATTCGGGGAAGCTGGGGGTAGAGCAGTTGCAATTGTCCGGCTTCCCGGAGCACTTCCGGGTTCCAGATGGTGCCGGACCGTTGGATGCCGAACCACTGGAGTTTTACTGTACATGGTCTTTTTAAAGGATGAGATATAGCTTCACTCTCACCCTGTGTTCCTCCTGAAGGTGGTTTCAGAGCTACGTTATTTTTCTGCAGGGTTTCTTCATGAAATCACATGTAAACTGGGAGAAGCAATGTCTCCGCACTCTGGATATTAGATGTACCCTGCTATTCTACATTGAGGAGACAAAAGCTTTTTGAAGGCTCACACCACTCTTTAGGACAATGGCAGACAGGCTGAAAGGCCTTCCTATTTTGGCTCAGAGGATTTTGTCTTGGATCATGTCATGCATTCACATGTGTGGGTTCCAGCACCATCTATAATGATGGCCTTTTCCTCCTAGAGTGCAAGTTTCCTCAGCAGTGTTCCTGATCCAGGTGAGGATTTAGGATACCTGCAGAGTGGAAACTTGGTCATCAGTACGTATGTTTTCCTCCCTCTGTGCCATCACCAAGCAAGCTAGAGATGGTGCTGGGTTTGCTTCAGATAACATACCCATAAACTCTGGTCTCATCTCCTGTGATCTACTTGGCAGTCACCTGATGTGAAAAGGAGATTTGAAACTACTCAAAAAAAAAATGTTCCTAACCTTTCTGGAACTGCTCTTCGAAATGTGTTGACATGTGCATTCCATGTCCTCTTTTTCAACCCCTCTGTTTGAGTTGGCTAGCAAGTAGGAACTGAGAGCGCATGGGGTAGGCCAGACCTTTTATGATGGTGCTTGAGTGCATGGCACCAGAAGGCACTAAAGACCACTAGACAAATGCAAATGCTTGTGGTATACATACACCTAACAACATGTGTAACACATCTGGAAGAACAACAGTTATAAAAGGGCTAGTAATTTTTTCTGAGACTTTCAGGATGTGTGTGTCTCTGTGGTCATTCTTCTGAATCGCAAGAAATATCTTCACTGGTAAAATTCCATCACTTTCTGTACACAGTTCTCCTCTTCGGCCTCTCTTACGCCATCTGTGTCGTCATCAACAACTGCATGTTGATGGTCATGGCATACCTCAGGAAGAAGGGAACTCCCATTTTCCCTTACCTCAATGACTGGCCACTGAAGGGCAGCTCCAGAGAGGAGGTGCTTGCCCACCTTCAAACAGTGCTGTACTTCTTGACTGTTTGGCACTCATTTCTACTGGCAAGTTGACCTTGACCCCAGCTGAGCAAATGGAGCTTTTGGGAGCTCACTTAGATTCCATGTGGTTGAAGGTGCTTCTGCCAACTGACCACTTTCAGGAGAGATGACAGCTGTGCCTCAGTTTGTAATCACAAGTTTTCCAGGACAGTCTGCGTGTGCCTGAGCCTGTTGGGCCACAAGCCTGTGTGCTCCCACATGATGTGTCTTGTCAGGTTATGCATTCATTCCCTTTAACTGTGGCTCTGGATGTTTTACCACCCTGTCCATTCTCTAGGACGCTCCATAACCCCTAGGGTTCTTGAGCTGGTGGGAGGTCCCACACAATGTGTGCCAAAGTATTCCCCTTATTCCACTCTCTGTCCGAGTGAGTGGTACTGCTAGGCAAATATCTGTGATTCCAGCATAGCACACACTAGCATATGCATCACACCTCAAAGAAACCACAGTTTAAAGTAACCATTTTCCCCTGTTATTAGTTGACGTAAACCACTTTCAGTTCTTGGCACTTTCTTTTAGCCTCTAGGCTACTTTTTAAAGTTTGTTCTAACGTTTTTCCCTCCATTTTCGGGTATGGATTCCATTTTTGTTCTATGATCTGGATGGCTGACTTTTAAAATAGGTCACCAAAGTTGAAGAAATATTCTCAGTTTTACAGTTTCTTGACCGTTGAATAATTATGAAATTACTCTAAAACTTTAATTCTCATTCCCAACTTTTGATCTATTGAAGGATAGTACTGTTAGCAAAGGAAGAGATACTTGCAGCTCAATTAATTCAAACTTAAAACATAGGAACTAGTTAAATGAATTTGATTCAGTTTTAACCTTATAAGTTTTGTGCTGACACGACACAGTTATCTTTTCATGTGAAAAATCTTCAGATAAGGCCTGATAATTTCAGCCAATCAGGAGATACCCTTCCTAAATGCTGCCTAATCTGGTATTTTGTTTTTTCCAGTCATGGAAAAGCATAATCTGTAAGGAAATCCCTTGATGATAGCTTACCGACCAGCTTCATACTAGACCATTAGTCTTTTGGAACTGAGAGTAACAGGCCAAACCATTCAAGTCTGTGCTAGTCCCACATTCTATCATTGTAGCATGAGACAACGAACTGCCATAACATATATTACCTTCAAGAAAGTCCAAAGAGCTTCAGGCTTCAACTAAATGTTTTTCTTAACCTAGATAGATATGATCATACATTACCTGCAATATATGTTTGATGAAGATTCAGCAGTCAAATAGACTGGCTAAATTGTTAGTCTCTTTAGCCAGGAGAGATGAAAATTCAAGTGCTACAAAAGATTTTCATCATGTGGCTTACTCACAAGTTGGATCTCTCTGTACCTACTGTGAATAGATTTCCAAGTTTGTTCTCCAGAAGCCGTATAAATATCTGTACAGCAGATGCTAGCCTTCTTCAATAGATTGGACTCGAGCTGCTTCTTCCCCTTCCAGGCAGAGCCCAGGGGCTGGATTTGGCCCACGGCTCAGCCCTTCCCCCTCCCCCCCATGGCAGAAAAGTCAGGGGGAGAGAGCCCTGAGTCTCGCAGGCTGGATCAAGGTAGCAGGCTCCCCATCCCTGGTTTTGAGGTATATTTATGCAAGCCAAGATTGTGCTACAGATTGTCAGTACATGATCTGTCATGTGGATAGATATAGGAAATGTATTTTCAATGTTCAACACGTTTCACTATCACTAAATTTACTGTGTTTTATAGGGAAGTCTTAATAGATCCAAAATGCATTCTTCTCTTTTGAGTCTGAATAATTTTTTGTGATCTGTAATAAAGGGTTTTAAATTCAACGATAACCTCCCCAAAACAAATGCTTCAGTGCTAAGTTTCTAAAAAAAACCTTTACACTCCACTCATAAACTACTCTCTAGTAAATAAAGTAGTGTGTGTACAGCAAAGAAAGTGTTTTGTTGAGAAAGCAATTTATGTAAGCTCTTCTCTGGCAGTGGACAACACAATAGATCACTCAATGATGGTCTGTTCTATTCATTTCCTCTGAAGCACATGGCATTGACCGGTGTCAGAAGATGGGATACTGGGCTAGATGGACCATTGTCCGACCTAGTGTGTCCATTCTTATTTTCTTCCATGGAGTAAAGCATGAATAAATTGTGTGGAGTGAATTAGATGTCAAGTTATTAAGTGTAAGTTCTGGAATGACAAGTCTGTGTTGTTGTATTTTTTATAAAGCTTGTTTTCTTAACAATACTGATGTATGGAACATTTGTTCCTTACTGAGGAATAATAACCTTAATATTCTTAATTCACTGATGGAATATCCAGGGCAATGGCTTCAAAATTGGTCAAATCTGAAATATTAAACTTTTGCAAATCAAAATCCTAAATGCTTAATAAATGTATTCAGATCAGAAAATGACACTATGTCAATATTTATTTATTTCGGTGGAAGGAATTGGAGGGAAAAGGATTTTGACAGGGTTTTTTAAACTCTTTAATGTACCTTTATTGTGTTTGATTCACTTTCTCCAGTGACAGTTTTAATAGGAGATATAAACAGGGTTTTCCTGTAAAGCATTAAAGATGGCCATGGCTGGGGATGTGACTTGGGTGAAGTGAAGTCAGCCAGAGCTCTGATATAGCACTAAGAAGTCTCCCTCTGAAGTGCTTGGTTGGCTAATTCTTGCTGCAGGAATTGGGGTCTAATTGATAGCCATATGTGGGGCCCAGGATGAATTTCTCCCCAAATCAAATTGGCAGTAACTTTGAGTGTTTTTTTGTCTTTCTCCTTGATGTTTGAGTGTGTGTGTCTGTTATATACCTTATTTAATCATTTTCCTGTCATTGTGGAATCTTTGACCATTACTTTCCGTATTCTTTGCCCATGATATATGATAGTCTAGTCTCCTGAGGGCTGTAATGTTTTGGTTCTTGGGTTTAGTGTGAACTCTTTATCAGACAAATTGCTTACAACATCAAAGATTTTGGCTAACTCAGGCTCATTATTTGAAAACTCTTTTTTTTCTGTTTACTTTTAGACAAAGTCTACAAGGAGTAGAAGACAAAATCACAAAACTGAAAGTAACTATGGTAGCATGGGACCGCCATGACAATTCTGTTATAACTGCTGTTAATAACATGACTCTGAAGGTTTGGAATTCTTTCACTGGTCAGCTTATCCATATCCTTATGGTAAGAAAAATAAGAGTGGCAGTTTTACTTCATATACTATAACTTAGATATCCATCATAGATTTAAAAAAAAATTTTTTTTAGGGATTTGCATAAAAAAGAAGAAAGTCAATGAAATAATTGTCAGAACTTAAAGCTCCTTGCATTTCTTCTAAAAAGAATGAGAAGTCTGGTTGCAACTAAGACTTACAAATTTATTTGGGCATAAGCTTTTGTGGGTAAAAACCATTTAGTCAGATGCATGGAGTGGAAATCACAGAGGAAGGGGCGCGCACACAGACACACACACTCTGTCTCTGTCTGTCTGTCTCTCTCTCACCTACCTACCTACCAAGTCTAGGAGCAGTGCTAATGAGACCAATTTAGTCAGTTTGGGGATGTGATTTTCTAAGTGTTTTTTACCCATGAAAGTTTATGCCCATGTAAATCTGTTAGTCCTTAAGGTGTTACAGGACATCATCAACATGCAGAGCCCCATCCCCAGCTGGTCAATCTCGTGCTGGTGTGGCTGTCCCCAGTTTTTGCTATCCTCATTCCTCTCTCTGCTTCTCCCCCCATTCCTGCCATTTCCCGTGTTTCCAGCACAACGAAACCCTGTCTTTGCTTTAAGTTAGGGTAAGAGGAAACTACTTACCAAATTTGATGGCCCTACATTTTACTGTTTAGGAGTAGTTGCACAAACAGATGGACAGACAGACAGACATTTCATTTCTAAAATATGTGTTGAGATAAGTTGTGTAGGCACATCAAGGGGAGTTGAAAGTGATCTGAAATAGATTAAAATGCAGTATTGCATGTCACCAGTCACAGTTTCAAACTTTTCCTGCAGTGAAACTTTCTTTCATTTGGAATATACAAAAAGGCCATCTTATAGGTCCTAGATACTATTTGCCATATAATAAAAAATAGTTGTGTAAAATAGTTAGAGAGCAGCTGCACTTCAACCCAAAATTATAAGTAAAAAATTGAGATTCAAGACTGAGTACCCATATCTTAACACAAATATCAGTACTTATCATGACCCTTATCGTTCCTTAGGAATGAAAAAAATGCAGATATTTAATTATACTAGCGTCCTGTTCTACATTAAATTTAGAGGTTTTAAAAAAAAAAACTTAATTACAAAATATGCATCTCCTGCATATAATTTGATGTCATTGGCAAAAGAGAGTTCTTGAACCTTATGAAATTGAATTTTGATTTTAGGGTAATACTTCTTTACATAGCCTAAAATTTTAGGCTATCACTAAACTAGTGTTTTACTTGATATTTTTTTAAGCAGTTGCATACATAATGTAGAATGAACTCTGCAAACGGTTAAAATGGCTAAAATATGAGTGAGTTTTTAAGTGTCATTTCTGGTCCTCTGAGCTTCTATATTAAATCAGTTGTAGAAAAATTGATAGTTTTTAACTGATACAATTCTTTTTAAAATTGTCAGTGGGCAAAGAGAAGCATATAATATAAAGATACATCAAAGAGTCACGAAAAGTCATCCAAAGAGTTACCAGATTTACTGTTGTACATTAGACAGTTTCTCATTATTACTTATTCAGATGTGCATATTGCAGGTTGTTGATTAATCACAACTGACTCTAATTCAAAAAATTAATCACTATTAAAATAATCATGATTGCTTTAATAGCACTTAAATAGAATACTGACATTTATTAAATATGTTTTCTATATTTTCAAATATATTGATTCCCATCGCAATACAGACTAGCAAGCATAGGGTGCTCACTTTATTTTTAATACAAATGTAAAAATAAAAAATAGTATTTTTGATTCACTTAATATAAGTTCAATACTTCATTCTCTATCATGAAAATGCAGCTTACAAAGGTAGATTTCTTTCTTACATAACTTCACTCAAAACCAAAACAAAATAAAACTTTACAGCCTACATGTCCACTCAGTTCTAATTTTTGTTCAGCCAATTACTAAGAGAAATAAACTTGTTTCCATGTGCGGAAGATAACGCTGCTTGCCTCTTATTTACAGTGTCATCTGAAAGTTAGAACAGGCATTTTCATGGCATTTTTGTGTCAGCATTGCAAGGTAATTACATACCAGATATCCTAAGAGTTCGCATGCTCCTTCATGCTTCGGCTGCCATTCCAGAGGGTACGTTCCATGCTGATGACACTCATTACAAAATAATGCTTTAGTTAAATTTGTCACTGAACTCCTTGGGGGAGAGTTGTCTCCTCTGCTCTTCTGCCACATGTTTTATGTTATAGAAGTCTTGGATGATGACCCAGCACATATTGTTTATTTTAAGAACACTTTCACTGCAGACTTGACAAAACACAAAAGTTTCCATTGTGAAATATCGAAAAATACACTCAACCCAAAGTTTAAGATCTGAAGTGCCTCCCCAAATGTGACACATGAGGTGTGGGACAAGCTTTCAGAAGACTTAAGAGCAACACAGATGCGGTAACTACAGAATCTGAACCATCAAAAAAAAAAAAAGAAAACCGTCTGCTGGTGACAACTGACTTGGATGATGAAAATGAACATCTGTTGATCCATACTACTTCAGATAGTTATCAAGCAGAATCCGCTAAGAATGGACACGACGTCCTGTGGAATGGTGGTTGAAGAACATATGGATGTATAGCACATCTGGCCTGTAAATATCTTGTGACACCGGCTACAACAGTGCCATGCAACCAGCTGTTCTTTCAGGTGACATTGTAAACAGGAAGTAGGCAATATTATCGCCCACAGATGTGAACACACTTGTTTGTCTGTGTGATTGGCTGAACAAAAAATAGGACTGAGTGCATTTGTAACCGGTTTTACATGGTTTTTGAATGAAGTTAATTTCGTACATAATTCTACATTTGTAAGCTCAACTTTAATGATAGAGATTGCACTGCATTACTTGTATTAGGTGAATTTAAATACTTTCTTTTGTTTTTCATTGTGCAAATATTTGTAACAAAATAAACATTGTGAGCATTGTACAGTTGGTATTTTGTTTTAATTGAAAACAGTATATTTGAAAATGAAGAGAAAACATCCAAAATATTTTAAATAAATGGTATTCTATTCTTTAACAACACAATTGTGCAATTAATCAAGCTTAATTTTTATAATTGTGATTATTTTTTTTAATCACTTGACAGCCCTAGTAAATATTTCTGCATGTATCTGTGGAACATCTCTTCTCTGAACTTCTCTTTTAAAAAAGATAAATATTTTTTATTTCAGGGACATGAGGATGAAGTGTTTGTACTTGAGCCTCATCCATTTGATCCTAGGGTTCTCTTCTCTGCTGGCCATGATGGGAATGTCATAGTTTGGGATTTGGCAAGAGGGGTCAAAATTAGATCTTACTTCAACATGGTAATTTTCCTATGGTTATTTGCTATTCTTGTATAACTGTAAAGTACACTGCATTTTGTTGTTTGTGTAACCAGGGGAGTAGGGTGCTGTCCTGGCTCCATTGATGCTAGTGGCCAGACTCCAGTGAACTTCAGGATTGGAATTTCACCTACAGCTTGATATGAAGTTGCTTGAAATGACTGCATTAACTATTGATTTTTCCTTTGTTGTATATCATTGTAGATCCCACTGTATATATGCATGTGCCTCATGAACACAAGATCTGAGTCTTTTAAATGCTGGTGTCAGTCAGTGTTGCATATATGCCCATGTGACTCCTCACACTCTTATACAAGTGCCTGAATGTCAGGATGGCTGTCACCATCACTCAGTTCTCCCTTATTCGCTAATATTTGTGAGAACGAAACCGAAAAGCTTCCAACATAGTAGGTTTAAATTCCAATTAAATCTCTCAAAGCTTCTCAAAACTCTTTAGAATTCTTTTGATAAATTGACCACAATGAACATTTTTCATCCATTTGAATTGAGCACTGAAGATCAGAACCATCTGTATTTCCCCCCCTTGCAGTATTGGATGCCTCAATATGGCAGATTCAGAACCTGTGGACTTCAAGTCCTACATGTCCTTTGATGGACTAATTACTAAAAACATGGATACCACAGGGGCTTCTTTTCATCACAAGAGTCCCATATGTTTGGTACGTACCTATTTTGCTGCAAGAATGAGTAGGTCATATTTTGTATGGCTGAACTGTGCTTTCCTGGTAAAATCTGTGTTTCTCAGATCCGTAGTGGGTAGGCACCAGAGCACCAACAAAGGACAAAACAACTTAATCCAGTAATAATCAACCCCAAATGCTAGCACAGAGAAGACCACACTGAGGAAAGACCTAGCATTGGCAGTAGCACAAGTGCTCTAACTTTAAAATATGCTTCACTAAATGCCTTAGTCAGCACCAAAACATTTGGTATCGAAGTGCTACTCTGAGTGGAGCCACTCTGAACGAAGAGGTAGACAATAGACTGAATTCAGTGTCTTCGCACACAGATGATGTAAAGCCTACGTAGACAAATCTATTAAGAACCAAATGGTGTCTAGAACTGGTGAGCAGGAGCAGCCCATGACACAGAAGATGACTCCTCAGGTATTGGCCCTCGATCTGGCACTACACCCTACAGCATTGATGCCTGCAGAATGTGATGAACCTCTGAAAGAGGAGGGTTTTCATTAGCTTTTAGGTGTTTTTTGGTACTAATGCATGTGCCAATTATTATATTCCACTTGCTATGTATCTAGGAGGCCTATTTCTTCTCTCTATCACCTGAAGTACATTCTCATCATCTTGGAGCACAGAAATCTTTCTGTGATCTATGATCAATATCTCAGAAATTGTGTGGACTCTTTCTTAAGGATCCATTAATCATCTCGAAACACATGGCATAGGACTGACAATATCATCTTAACCAGACATATCCCTGTGGCAGCTGCCATGGCCCTACAGGGTTTTCTGGGGTCTGCCATCTGAAGTCACTAGGAACTGGTCTTCACACTTGAGAAAAATGGAAGGAAACCCCTTTCCATATCAGCTTCTCTGGCCAGGATGGAAAAACCACCATGAAGACCAGACTAAGGGGCCAAGCAACACCAGCATCCTGCTTTGCTACCAAAAGACCTCTCATTGTTATTGCCTGGCAAAGTAGTGTCTTTGGCAGCAACAGGGGCACTGGGTGAATCTTTCCAGGAGCTCCACCTGCAAATTTCAAAGATTCCAGAGGTGGAAATATCAATAGCATTGGTGAAATCTCATAAATTATTACATTCTTTGACAACTGTTATTCCAGGCAAAATCACCCTATTCATAAATGAGGTTCTGTTAACTCTAGTTCAAGTCTTGTGGTACTGTCTTCTATGCCACCCTTACCGATTGATATCACCTTAGTGCTTATTAGCCCTGATCAGGCATAAAGCATAGTAAAAGATGCATTCAGATGGAGTACAAGGAAACAATGAGACAGTAGTGGTTAGCATAAGGAGCAGAATTCTTAATCCAAAAGTTTGTCTACTGTCAAATTTTTGTAGGTTTCATGGCAAAGGAGTGTTTTAAAAAGGGTTTTGAAGGAAGATCTTAGTTTTGTTGATATTTATGGGGAATTTTCACCTGATGTGAGAGGCAACATGGGAGAAAGTATGAAGCTGCTTGTTTTGACTCTGTAGTAAGTGGGAGATTGGGAGGTTTGTATTATTGGCCAATGGTAGGATTCACTATTTTATTAGGGAATGACATGTGAGAGGTCTTGTGAAGGACCTTGAAAATAAAGACAAATAGTTTGATGCAGTAGTTGGCATTACAGTGCCAGTGAGATAATATGCATAACTAGACTATTGGTATTAAAGGGTACTGCTTGCTCAGGAAGGCTAGGAAAGGGGCAAAACACAATACAGTTCTGGGTACCACATTTCAGAAAGGATGTGGACAAATTTCAGAGAAGAGCAACAAAAATGATTAAAGGTCTAGAAAACTTGGCCTATGAGGGAAAATTGAAAGAATTGCGTTTGTTTAGTCTGGAAAAGAGAAGACTGAGGTGGAAGTGGGAGGAGACATAATAGCTTTCAAGAACCTAAAAGGTTGTTTCAAGGAACAGGGAGAAAAAATATTCACCTTAATGTCTGATGATCGGACAATAAGCCATGGACTTAAATTGGAGCAAGGGAGTTTTAGGTTGGACTTTGAAAAAAAACTTCCTGTCTGTCAGGATGGTTACCCATGGGGAAAAAAACTTCCTGTCTGTCAGGAAGGTTACCCATGGGAATAAATTGCCTAGAAAAGTTATGGAATCTCCATCATTGGAGATTTTAAAGAGCAGTTTAGACAAACACCTGTAAAGGTTGGTCTAGGTGGTGTTCGGCCCTGCCATGAGTGTAGGGTACTAGACTTGATGACCTCTCAAGGTCCCTTTCAGTCCTATGGTTCAGTGAGTAGACAAGGTGGACCCAGAAGAGTGATGCAAATAGAGGGTTAACATGGTCTGTGCTATAAGCTAGGAAAATGATCTGTGCAACAGCATTCCGAATGAATATTCCAAAAGACCAGGTTACATTTGTTAACATCAGAAAGAAGGATGCTGTGATAATCAAAATGTTATAAAGAAAGACTCTTCAAGATAATAGGTATAACCTGTATGTGATGACAGAGAGATTAAATTAGGCTGTGGGTCTGAATAATAGGCAGAATGATTGTCCAGAGCGAATGAAAAAGGAGTCAGTTGGGAGGGCTTGCATTGGTCTTCAGTAGCTGTGATGGAGATTCCCATTCTGTTTAGGTGTGTGATCTGTAGACTGTTAATACCAGTTTCAGAAAGTGTGTCTGTTGCCCGGGAGAGAGAGACCTCACACACAAATGCCAATACTGCAAAAGATTGACAGTGAGAACTAGAAAAGCTAAGGATTATCTCCAGTTAAAACTCATGATGCTGGAAAAATCCCTTTGTCCTACTTCTGATCCTGATTCTTTGCCTCAGCAAGACTTGCCTAACGTAAGGTGATCTCAGACAGCCAGACTTCCCCTGGTACCGTCAGCACATAGAGCAGTGGTTCTCATACCCGCAGACCTCCAGGCTGAATGCAAATCTTTCCGCCAACCACCAGTTGCTAATGGAAACTCAGTTATATTACATTGTTATGCCTGAGCCATTTTGCTAGTGCTGCAGCTAGGAAGAATAATTTAATTTAAATTATTAAACAGATTTAAGTGTTTTAACTTTCTCATTAATTTATCAAACTTCATTTTAAATAAAGTAAAATATTGATTTGTCCCCAACAAAAAAGGTTTCAATGTTTTATTTATTACAGGGGTGGAGAACTTTTCTGGGTCAGGGGCCACTGACCCACAAAAAAAATCATTTGGGGATCACACAAGTGAGAAGCAAAAAAAACTCCTCCAGAAACTACCAGCCCTCACTGATGTGTCCCCCAGCTGACACACTTCACTCATTTGGCACTCCAGCCACACAGGGCAAGGAGAAGGCACAGGGAGGACTGAGGTTCAGGACTTCCTATAGTCCAGATTTACTTTTCTAGGCTTCTAGAGTTAGTAGATTTTTGTGGACTCCCTAATGCTCTGGGGTGGGGACAAAAATGAGGGGTTCATTGTGCGGGACAGGGCTGCCAGCGAGTAGAATAGGGATGGGGATGCAGTATGTGGTCAGGAGGGGTGGGATGCAGGCGAGGATGAGGGTGTGTGGTCTGGGTGGGAGAGAGCCTGCTTCTGCACCCTGGGAGCAGGGTGTCTGCCTGGTGGGGGGGAGGGAGCAAGGGAGGGTGCAGAGTGTGGCCAGGAGGGAGAGTGCAGGAGCAAGCTGGGTGTGTGGGGTCTTGGTTGGGGGCAGAAAGGTGAGCGAGAGGGATCGGTGTGTCTGGGCTGAGGAGGATGCTTATCTAGCTTCGCACCCCTGTTGCTCCCATTGGTGGGTGATTTGTAGAGAGCTGCTTCCTTGTAAAGCTGTGCTACAGGTAGTAGGAGCTGCTCTTATAATACACTGCTACTGGAAGTAGCACAATCCTACAGGCTATTGTTTCTAACCAGAAAACCAAATGTTTAGAATTGCTACCCATTTCAGCACTGGGGGCTCCTCTGTTGTCCTCAGCACTGGCGTTGTTCTCTGAACTGGCTTTGTGTTTGTGGCAACCTAAACGGTACCTTGTCAATACAGGAAGTTTTGATATTCCAGATAGTTTTTTGTGATGGTACAGAGCAAGCCATGGAGTGGGGTGCACTGGGCACAGTGCAATACAGAAGCGTTTCTCTGTTTACACTAGTTCTTTGGTGAGAGATGAAGGTGGGGGACAGAGTCCCCTAGTGACCTCACTCCTGGCTGCAACTCCCTGATCTCCTGGGGAGACAAGCAGGCTACTCCCCTGGCTTCTGAAGGATCCCTGATCTGCGTGGCTGCCCTACAGAGCAGCCGTTACCACTTTGGAAATGTAGCTACCTGCACTGCTG